AACTATTGGTCTGCTCTTGATAAGAGATTGTAAAAAAAATTTTTCTTTCTTTATTTTTTAAGTAAACTGCCCAGAAACAAAGATTTTGTGACTTGTAAAAATAATTTCCTATGTTGTCTTTGTCAGGTATCTTGGTTTCTTAAGACAGCTAAGTCTTCTCTATTAAAAGAGTTAAGTTTTTCTTTTTTTATTTTTACAACTATTTAACTTTCTGTATTTGCCTGCAAAGTCTTTGTCAATGTCTTTAAATAGATAACTACATATTGTTATACAGTGACCAATGATCCTAATTGACCAAGTGTTTCTAAAACCTTTTGATATTTTTGACAAAACTTCCAAAAATCAAATTCTAAATGAATTCTTTGACCTCAACCTAACTTTGAGTTGTTCCAGATGTTCCAGAGGGCCTCTGGAACATTTCAAATGATTTGTTCTCTCTCCTTATAAAAAGGGAGATGTTAAACTAATTAGGCTTCTTTGATACATTAAATTACATGGGAAGCATTGCCAAATAAGTAATACTAAGCCTTCTTTATGTTATATTTGTATAGATATATAAGCGTTCCAGAAACTGTATGTAATTGCCGGAAATCTGATATGTCCTGGTATAATGTTATCGATCATAATTCTAGTTATTATCTTAAAATGTTGCATGTTATAAAAATAACCAAGTTTCCTTGTCAATTCCATTATAATGAACTCTCATCAGACCTTTAACTGTGGCCATTTTTAAGTCTTTGGCGTTTATGGAGAGTTATTGTTTTACTCTGATGCTTTTGCAAATATGTTTTCAGAGATTCATAGGAAAGACTCTGAGAAATACTCTAGAATATAGGTTTCTGATAACTTAAAGATCATACTGTTGAACTGGGTAAGAATTTGCAGAACTCTAACAGAGAAACTGATGGCTTCATAAAACAGCTAGTGAAAGATCAAGATCAACAAGAATCAATTTCGTGGGACCAAATGAAATGATGAGAATGATTATAATTTTTGTGACTTTTTGTTTGAAACTGTTGGTTCTTTTATGTTTTGTTTTTTCAGATTTAAGGAAACCTTCTCCTCTTTTCTCTTAAGCTATCAGCAATTTGGTAAGAGACAACTTTGTGAACAAAGATGATACACTTATCTTTTTCTCCCTTCCTGATCCCTTCAGGATTTGGAAACTCTTAGTGACTATTCTTATGTTCATGGCAATACAGTTATTTACATAAGTTCAATAAGAATCTGTTCTCCTTGTAACAGGAAAAAATTGGAAACGTTGGTTGTATTGCCAAGGCTTTGGCTGGAATGTCATATTTAAGAATGTGCATAGAATCAGATATGACCAGACAGCTTTAAGGAACTAAAGCTGACTTTATGGAGCCAATTAAGGCATCTTGGAAAAATTGGCCTGGTACCTTGCTTACAGGGTTCCCAGCAGCCTTACCAGGCAAATAAGGAAGGTCAGTTCCTGGCAGACTTGGGAAAATTTGGATATTTTGGGGACCTCAAAATGAGAGGAATTCACCCAAATCTATAGGTATTGCTGGCAAAATCTGATGATGAGACCTTGGCTTGGCTTCTTGGCCTCAAGAGGCTTTTAAAAGTCCAATCTGAGATTCTCTATAAAAAGTTCTAGCAAAGCAGATTTAAAAGAGCCTATATGATCAATCACTATTCTTGCTGTACTTATGTAAATAATTAGGCCAAATTTATTAAAACAAGGCTTACTTTGCAAACAAATTTGTCTTACTGTGGTTATCTTTGATAAAAATGGAGGTACTTATAAAGAGAAAAATTAAGTTTCAGTAATACACCTTTGTGGATACCAAATTCTAGTGGTGTTAATTGTTTTTGGGTTTTTGTTTTCTAACAGTAAACTGGACTAGATCTTGAATTCTTCTAGTTTCCTCCGATATTTGGCTACAACTCTTCAGACTAACATTTCCAGTTTTTCTCCCACTTGTCTGACTTGGAATCCTTGAGAATTAAAACTGTCCTTTTTCCGAAGTCATGCAAGCTAAAGCCCAATAACTTGATATAAACTTTAGAGAAATCACCACAACAGCTCATCTATAGACAATCTTTGTGCCTGTTGCTCTATGGGCCACACAGAAAGATCACTAGAGATATTCAAACTGCAAACCAGGAAAATCTGTCAGATTGCCACTGCCTGCCTTCACTACATCTGAAGATGTTTTAAGCCTGACATCCAGAAATCTTTGACTGGCTGCCCTCTAGACTCAGATTGGACCTAACTTTGGGAGAACAACCGCATCACTACCTCCTGAAATGAGACGCAACTGTTTAACTGAACTGATCTATTCTCAGGACTAAGAGATTTGTTCAATGAGATGGAACGATCTACCAACTCAACTTCTGGACTGTGAAACTTCTTAAGAAAGTTTCAAAGGTGAGACTGAAGGGGAGAAGAATATGCCGTCCCAAAATGTGCCACTTTGGCATGTGGATTACTTTGAGCTGAAGGCAATCAAGACCCAGCAGATTGGAAAAATTCTTTTATGTCTCCCTTAACTACCCAAAAAAAGAGAGCTGTTACCAGAGACAAATGTTATCTGAATGACCTATGTGTACAGCAGGGCAAACTTTTAATTACCACACATCTGTTTTTCTTATTATCCTTTGAATTATCCTCTTCCCCTTTGAAGCTCCAGATCCTTCTCCCATTTCTTAGCTCACGATAGCATATAAGCCTCAATTGTCCAACTTACCCTTGGATCTCATATTTTTATAGGGCTCCTTTATGAACAAAATTAAATTTGTTTCTCTCCTGTTAATCTGTCTTATGTCAATTTGACTGTTAGACTGGCCAAAGATCCTAGACGGGAAAATTATTTTTCCACCCCTATGTAGGGGAGGAAGAAAAATTTTCCCTTCTACCTTTCTAAGTTCTTGGCTGAGATACCCCTGTAACAAAAGACAGATTATTAAGAGAAAAATAAACAAAAGTTTAATAGCATGTATACGTCATGTTATCTCCTCATGAAATACTAAGGAAAACTGAGTAAACTCTCTAACTGACCAAGCCACCACCTTAAATAATGTCTTCTGTTAAAGATAAAAAAAAGATGTTGGGGGAGGGTCAGTTATGAGTGGTTACCAGGAAAAGCATGGTAAACAAATGTAAGGTTTGTTATGTAGATTTGTTTGTGCCTTCTTCATTGATAAGAATTTCTGAAGATTCAGAGTCATCTTCTCTTCCTGGTACAGAGAGGGAGACATATTTACAAATGAAAATTTCTTTTATAAATGTAAATATGCCTTACAAAATGGTAGATTCTACTCTGTTTTCGGAGATTCTCCTGTATGTTTTCAGTTTCTCAAAAGTAATCAACTCAAAATAATCTTTATGCCCAAGAGGCATATTTTAGGGTGGCATATTCTGCTACCCTTTAAGATGCAGTCAAGAGAGAGATACAGAACCCAATTAGATGAATTGTAGTCCTGACAGGAAATTAAAGAAACGTTTTGAGTTCAGTCAGGGAGGAAAGAACATGGAGAAGGAAGCTAGCAGCAACCTTAGCAGGTAGTGAGTGAAGAATTCTGTCCACACAAATATGTTAAAAGAGGTTACAAAAGAAACCAAAAGGAGTTACAAAAGAGTTGCATTATTGAGAGAAGTACCCAATGGAAATAAAAATGTTATGTCAGTGAGAACAACTCTTTTAAATGTCTTAAGAAACTAAAGAAATGCAAAATCAAACCAAGCCAAAGAGGAAGTCAGCTGCAATCTTAGTGGGTATTGTAGACTTCCTTCTCCAACAAAAGAGTTGCCAAATTCTTAAAACTCCTGGGAGGTTGGCCTCAAAGCCAAGTCCATATAAAGTATGTAATTCTTGTTATAACAATTATAAAAATAACTCATTATGTCCATCAGTGGAGTAAGAAGAGTTTCCCTGAATGCATGTAGGCTCAGGCCTTGGATCTTGGTGACTAGAGTTGACCACTAAAGAACCTTAACTGATTGAAACAATCACATCAATTTCTTTGTGATTATTGAATTGTTTCTTTCATAGGTGTGTGTGGGTGTTTTAATCTGGGAAAGTTAAAAAATTTGCTATGATTGTGTTAAGTTCAGAGAAAACGTGATTATTTGGTATTATATTTAGTATATAAAATGTTTACAATGTTTAAGAGATTTGGTATATTTGCATGTTTGACTAAATGGCCTGGTGATTTCTTTTAAAATGTATGATAATCGATTCTAGACTTAAGATTTTTAAATTGTATGTTATAAAATAATTTGGCTAAATTTGTAAATAGTATTAGAATATTTAAGATAATAATATTTATTATATTAGTATAATTTATTAGATTTACAAGACTATTTATTAGCTGTGAAAGTATTACTTAGGCTCAGAATTGAAGTGCTTAAAAAGGAAAATTAAGTATAGTAACGCTATAAGTGTAGTTTAAACCTTTTAAGATATTTTGATTAACTAGGATGTAAATACAATTGATTCTTCACAGTTTAGTTTTTTCAATTTGTGGCTCAAACTTTACTCAAAGATGTCCTTGAAAGTGATTTTGAACATGTTTATATATATAACAATATAGCTCATAATTGACCTTGTTATTATTTACTATGCTAATTAGTTTATATTAATCAAAAACGTCAAGCAATAATAAATAACTTATCTATACTTAAAGATAGCAAATAACCCCTCGTGACGGTTTTTAAGATTACCTTTCGTGAAGGTTGAGCCCTTTGGCAGAGATAATGGTTCTAACAAGGAAGTTTGTTGGTCTCTAGCCTTTCTCAATAGCCACTGAAAACCAGATTTTAATTAGGAAATTTCGTACACACAGTATCCTATTTTGAACCCTGAGTCTTTCTTGCCCGTTTGAGACCTTTCCTTTTGCCCTCAACTTTGCTTCCTTCTTTCTGCATGCTACCACTGGCAGAGCAGATATGACTCAGAAACCGGTTCCTCTGGGTTGTGACATTAGATGATGCACGAGTTGGGTCATTACACGGTAAACTAATGCCTTTGTTTCATTGGGTTGGGCTCTGTAGAAGGCAGCATTGCTGGAAAAGCTCTCACAAGTGTGGGAAGAAGGGGCTTGCCACTGGCCTGGGCTTCGAGTAAACTTTCTCTCAGTTGGGAAGGATTTGGATATTAATCAGAAATATCTCCAGAAGATTCAAGAAGCTGTAGAGGTGAAGTAAGTCTGTGAAAGACCAGCATGGGGATCCTTTACTCTGAGGTATGTAACCTTTCTGGAAGTAAGATTGCAAAGGTGTTAAGAGTTGTTCATGTTTCTCAAATGTAATTTCCTGTCCCTGGCAATATGTCTCCTTTTCTTCTGTTTAACTTTTTGTGTGATCATTAAGTCAAAACAAAGTCCTGCATGTTCACCTTTTTGCTATTTTTAATATTTTACAGCAAATTATTTTGCAATTCTAAAATGTTAGCTAGATGTAAGTAGAGAGTGATACATGCATTCCAAGACGTTCAGATGTTTGAGGAGGTAATTTGTATCTTTCAAAATCTAGTTTATAAAAATTGAATTAATAGAGTTGTCCTTTTCTGATGTCAAACATCCAGGGGAAAACTGAAATTGCACCCAATTGATTTTCTAAAGATACAAAAGATAGACTGATTTTTCATGGAACCGCGTGTACAGAGTAACACCTTTCAGCTTGGTATTTAAAAGAAAATTCACCTCCAGCAATTATTAATAAAGACTTTCTCTGTACAGAAGAGAGATAAAACAGAATATATTTTTGATATTTTGAGTTTTTTCTTTTTAATCTGATGGATACAAAAATGCTTTTTCTTGTGTTGAAAGTAACCTATTCAAATCAAGTAGATTTTTCATAACATTTCAAAAGATTACAAGCAAGTAATGTTTAAACAGGAGTACAATAAATGTAACGACGTTCGTGATTTCCTCCCTCTCCTCTGTAGCGTAATTAACCGGTTAGTCTGCATTTCATTGCAGACGCTCAACAGAACCTCCTTAAGTGCTTCTTCTAATATTAAAGGCAGATTCTCCTTGTTTGCAGTTATTTCTAAAGCCAGGTGTGTGTGTGTGTGTCCTTCTATAGTAAACGTCCTCTTTGATTAGTTTATAATTCTAGATGTGTCTTGCTCAGTAACTTTAGTCTGGTGAAGACCTCATGTATGTGAAAATGACAGCATATGTAATGTTCTAAAATGCTACTCTGGTATTTCTCAAACTTCAGATGACCTGAGTGTCAGGGAGAGGAAAGTGTTTAAAGAACAGTTTCAAGGGCGCCCACCCCTGGGAGTCTGTTTCACTCAATCTGTGGTTGGGTCCAGAGACCTACTTTTTAGGGGAGCATCCCAGGTGATTCTGATGTGGGTGATCAGTTTACTACTCTCGGGAGAGAAACACTGCTCTAGGCTAGTGCTTTTCAAATTTTAATGTGCATACAGATCACCCAAAGATCTTGCTCAAATGCAGATTATTATTCCGTCTCTGGGTGGCCTAAGATTATGCATTATAGCTCCCAGATGCTTATACTGTTGGTCTGTGGACCACGCTATGAGAAGCCAGGCTGTAGTCCAGGCCCTGGGAATAATTACAGCAAAAATGTCTACGCATAAGGAGCGCAAATTGTTTGCTGATTGGGTGTTGATTTGGCAAGTGGTTAACGCAAGGCAAAGCAAGGCAAGATATGTTGAGTGATTATAAATATCAATGAGAATATCCCCAGAACTGGAATAAATGTTTCAGTTTTCAGATATATTGAGGACAAAGCAACTTGGAATTTATGATGATGTTTAAAACAAATCACAAGAACCACACACATACAAACACATACACATACCCCTGAAAAACTCCTACCTTACCTAGAAGCTCATAGGTAACTACTCAAAGCTCGTAATTAATATTTAATTAAAGATAGTCTAAGGTAGTGTTGGAATAAATGTTGTTGCCATGCAACAACTGGACTTTTAAACAGGGCTGATTCATTTAAACTCTTATCGAACATTTTTTGCTCCTACTATTTACAGTAATAACAAATATTTAATTATGCTTGATATATATATACCAGGCTCTGTCTGAAGCACCTTATGTGTATTACCTCTTTTAATGCTCACAATAACCGTATAAGACAGTCGCTATTCTTGTTTTCAAATGAAAAAACTGAGGCAAAGATAGTTTAAGTTACTTGCCCAGAGTCAGGCAGCTATAAAGTACTTACTGGCTAGAGACCGGGGGCTGGGATATGAGACCTGTGTTTGTACATTCAGAGAAATTCTCCTTACGTCACCAGGGAATGGGCTAAGTTCTTTTTCTACTTGCTGTCTCAACAGGGGCATCATACTCCAAAAAGGAGCTGGTCTTAACCATGCTGCTATTCTCTAGTACTGTTCCCTGCTAGGATATAGCCTTGCCCTTTTCCCTTAGTGAAAAGAACGTGGTAAACTATATCCAAGTTCCAGTGAGGGACATTCTACCCCTACCCTGCGGAGAAGTGGTGTATCGTAAAGTAGTGCAAAAATTGGAAAGAAGGAAGATGTATAAGAACTTAACACAAAGAGCTCAGGAATTCAAGCTTACGGAATCTTCAGACTCTTCTGTAGACTGCTAATCCTGTCAGCTGTTGAAACAGACCCCAAGAGGAATTTCTTGAAAATCGTATTGTAATGATGTATCCCTTTAAACTTTGGGAAGGTCTAACAGTAAGGTTATCTCTGAGCAGATGGATACATACACACCAGACACACATCATGTATTTACACACACACAGACACACACATACATACTCCTTTTTTTTTTGAGGAAGATTAGCCCTGAGTTAACATCTGCTGCCAATCCTCCTCTTTTTTTGTTGAGGAAGACTGGCCCTGAGCTAACATCCATGCCCATCTTCCTCCACTTTATATGTGGGACGCCTGCCACAGCATGGCTTGCCAAGCGGTGCCATGTCCTCACCCGGGATCCGAACTGGGCTATCCCGGGCCACCGAAGCAGACCGTGTGCACTTAACTGCAGCGCCACCAGGCTGGCCCCCCACACACATACTCTTAATTAATCCTTTGGGAATGGATCTATTTTTCAGAGAGGCAGGTGTTACTAAAGAAAAAGAGTGTATGGTACAAAGAAGAGAGGGATCATTTTTAAATATACAGTGTCCAGAGAGAGCAATTTAATTGGAACAGGGCTTATTGGGAGGGCTGGTACAGCCGAAGAGAACTCAGGGGAAACAGGAATACAGTTGTAACTAATGGGAAAGCCATTGGAGTGGAAGTCAGGTAAACCTAGAATTTGGTCCTGATTGTGCCAGGAACTGTGTGTGACTTGTGGGAAATCATTTAACCTCTCTGGGTTACAGTTTCAATATCTATAAAACAAGAGAGCTGGCTGAGATCTTGTTCAGCCTTATATTGTGTCATTCCATGATACAGAAAAAGAAAAGGCATAGATAACTGAGTGAAAAAACATCTCCATCACAATCTTATGAGGTCTCTCTATTTTGTTTGTATATTGAACCCCTAGCTAATTTTTGGTATTTTATATGCAAAAAAGTCTCCCATCCTAATTGGCTTCTTATTTCTTTCCTTGTATGCTGTAAGTAATTTTTAAAATTATAACTTGATACTAAGTCATGTTTCAAAAAGAAAGTGATATCTTTAACGTATGAACAGAAACCAGGTCTGAAAATTTATAAATATTTATTTATTCATTCACCTATCCATTTATTTAGTCAATGAAATTTATGGATCACATGCTATATTCCAGGCACATGCCAGCTCTTGGTATATGGTGATAATTAAAAGAAAAGTGGTCCCTAACCTCTTGGAGCTAATAATATAAAAAATATACAAATGAAAAAAATTATAAACAGTGAAAAAAGAAATCAAGGAAACAACAGGATAAAGAAAGAGTATATAAGGGAGAAGACTAGGGGTGTATATATCTAATTAGATTTGACCTGAAAGGCTCCTCTTAGGTAGTGACATTTGAACTGAGCTCTGAGGCACAAGAATCTAGCCTTGGGATGCTTGGAGAAAGAGTGTTCCAGACAGAAGGAATGTATATATGGAGAATCTGAAGCATGAAAAATTGGGCCTATTGGAATAATTGACTGAGTGGAATGCGAAGGGTGTGCTAGTGAGAGCAGATCGCGTGGGTGCAGGTAATAAGACGGAGTATTGTCTATACAGGATTTAGAGACTGATAAAACTGACTAAATGTTGATTTGTTTTTATTATTACCATGCTGCAGCAGTTTTAAACAATGTCAGTTTAACATAGTCCTCGTCATCTTTGGGTATCCTTTGTTTGACAGAAAATCCTAGTGCCCAGGAGACAGTGAGAGTGACAAGAGCTGATGTTGGAGAGGATGTCCGGGCCAATCATACAGGTCTTGTAGGCCAGAATGAGAAACCTTGATTTTATTCTAAACGAAATAGAAAGCAATGAAAGGATTTTAAGAAGGGGAGTAATAGGATTCAGTTAATGTTTAAAAAGGTCACTCTGATAGGTGTGGGAGAATAAATTGGAGAGCTGAAGGAGAGGAAGCCAGGAGCCCAGAACACAGCTGGTGAAGTGCCAGGGAGAGATAACGGTGGTGGTATTAGACCCCGGGATGAATTAGAGATAAATTTTTAACTGAAAATCTTCCTGGTTTGGAAATGGGGGATGAAGGAGAGAAGGAAATTAAAGCTGACACCCAGAATTCTGCCTCAGACAAGCTAGTGGATGGTGGTGCTAAGAAGATGGGAACTTAGAGGGGGACAGAAGGATGGGCTAGATTCAGAGTTCTGTTTAAACAAATTACATTAGAGACACTTGTGAGACATCTAGGGGCGGGAGGTGGAAGTTGGGTACAAGAACGCAGCTCTGAGGAGAGGCTAGGGCAAGAAGTAACAATTTGGGAGTTGTCTGCATATGGAGGGTACCTTTAAAGCCATGGGAAAGGGTGAGTTTGGCTAGGGAGAGAATGTGGAGGGAGGGGGCGCACCAGGTCATTATAGGAAGGCATGGTTTTGCTAAAGAAGTAAGGAAATATTTTAGGGCAATCTTCTCTGAGCATCTCTGTCTGGAGTTTGTAACTTTCAATAAACACAAACATCTTTAGTCAAGCAGGAGATTTCTTTTTTTGACCCATCCTTCCTTTATTCTAGACATAAAATGTAGGGAGTTCCAACTTCCGTATATGAAGTTAGTTAATCAGTACAAAATGAAAGTGAGGAGAAACTTGAGTTTTGAGTCTTATAAAAGATACCC